AAAAGTTCTTTGAAAATTGCTAATACTGTAATTGCAAAAAATCATTAGTGTATTCTTTCAACAAAAGGAGGCATTGCATTTTTTATTTGTATTTATTTAACAACTGCATACCAGCTGAGTGGCTATTATATGACACATATAGTATTTTACACATATTACTATCCAAGTTACTTATTTTTAATGCTGTTAGATTTTTCTCTTGTTAATCCCCTTTCAGTTATTTTATTCCCCAACTGTCTAAGTAAAATTTTCAAAGTTTTAAGTTTGGGTAATGCCAACCAGGTAATATATTATAGAATTTTCAACTAAATGGAAATTCTGCTTACCTGAATCTTTCTCATGCTCCTTCTGCAAGAATAAGCAAGATTGGAAAGAGATTGCTTCTTACCATTCATGCCCTTCTTAAGAAAAATAGCAAAAAATAAAGAGTATTGATCCCGTAAGACAGTCATTTCTGAATAGGAAATATTGAATTTAAATTCATCATTTAGAACTCTTTTTCTTTGATTCTTTTGCTTAATTCATGCTTGTCACTTTTAACTCAAATTCAATGCCTTACAAAGGCTTTTCAGTGATTCCCTCTACTCCATTCTAAACGCCCTTCAGTGTAGATATGAAGTTTGGCCCTATTGTTTAGGTCTTGTGCCGAGTCAGATTTACAGAATTTTAGAGCCAAGAAAGGCTCTGTAAGCATCCAGCTCAATGCCCTCATTTCCCCTTTAAGGGAATGAGGCCCAGCCCCAGTCACACAGCTGGTCAGTCTTTGAGCCAGAATTATGACCCAGGTCAGTTTTCATTACCTTTTGTTTTGTAGTTGCTTGATTATTTTATAGGTATGTTTGGTTTTCCCAGCTAGAAGATTTGTAGCAGGGACAACACTTTTTTCTTTATCCAAAGATTCTTCTGCACTTCTGTGTTTAGAGTAGGCAAACTAGAATGCCTGGGAGCTAGCCTTTCAGAAGCAAATGCCAGTGATATAAAAGTATATTTTGGTCTAGTGCTACTTTAAAAGTGTCTTTGCTTTTCATTTTAATATATCTAAAACATATTATGTATTCATCTATTAGTATAATTGATTTATATCTCTATTAATTAGTGAGTAGATAAAATTATATATTCTGATTACTTGGAATACTGTGACAAGAAGCCTGTTATATATATATATTTGACAGGCTTTTCTAAGTTTTCTCTAATTGTTTAGTGCAGAAGAACTTACTTAGAATTGTTTAGTGCAGAAAAACTTACTTAGAACCAATAACCTACCTATAATCTGGCCATATATGATAATGACATCCCCGTACCCCACACCACCCAAATTGAGACCTCTGTGCATTTTTTATGTTTAAGGAGTGCTACAAGAAAGGGAAAAAAAAAGGCAAAGAGAACCATTGACTTAGATTAGCCTAATTGAGATGATGAAGTCTTCCTTTTAAGAGAAAATTGCGAAGTTGTGTAGGAATGCTTGTTGGAGGTATATATAGAAATCTTGTAGAAAGGTATAGACTGATTTCATGCATCATTGAAATCACTTGCTTGCCTGTAGGACTTGTCTTTCAGGCCCCTGGGGTAATTGAATTGCATCTATAAACGTCCACAAATCCAGAAAGGAACTTATTAAACCTGACGACCATGGCCTCTGCTTCTGTAATACAGATGTGACACAGCAAACATACAACGATCACAGAGATTTGCTTTCAGAAACTGCTCCTTTGTCATTGTGATGAGTAGTGGCTGACCTGACCTACTGGAGGTTGTAGTAAGGTTGTTTCTGTGGCTGGACATCATGGTGCCCATCTTACAAGTGTTTATCTATCAGATCTCGTTCTCTCTCCCTGCATTTCTTCAATCAATGTTGGATGTAACTGTGCACCATTTATGAGGCTGCCATATAGGTATTTCTTAAATATTAAAGGGATGTTCATAAAATAATGTACATACATTAGAAAGTCATAGGCTAGTCAAGTGCTCAGAGAAGTTTCACTTATAGAGTGGAGAATTGGCAATGCCAATTTAAATTTTACACACGGAATCCTTTCTGAGCCTTGCTTTGGGCTGGGTGCTGTGGATTATAGCAAAAGCCTGATATTTTGAGGCAAGACATTTAGTTTTTAAAGGAGGCAAAGTTGGATAGACTGATGATTGTGATTTAGTAGTAATTACATATCATTTATTATTTCATGAACATAATAAGCTAGAGAATGAGAATGATAGTTTTTTGTTTTTTAAATTTGAGAAGGATTCTGGGATCACCTAATTCTAGAGTTTTACAAATAAGGAAACTGAAAAAAAACAAACAAAAACAAAACAATAACACATGCGATCAACTGTTTCTTAATAAATATTTAGAGCATTAAGAACTTTATTTTCCTCTTAGGAGAGGGTCAGTACTAAATCTGTGTGACAATTGCATTTACTCAGTGGAGAATTGAGAGGTTCTCTGTTTAGCACTTGAATATTGGACACGATTCAAATTTAAGTCAAGTGTGTCTAGAGGCTTTACTCATACCTATTCATACCTTTTAGTCAGCAATGCTTCATAATGCCCTGGTTTCATGAATTAATTTTAATGGAATTATATTTGAACAACTCAAAATTATATAATTAATTTCATTCAGCTTCAATTAAAGTTACTAATTGAATAAGCCTACTAGCACGACACCTGGCGGCCATCAGCTACATAACAGTAATAGCAAATTATGTTGGCCTCTGCTGATGAGAGATTTCACGTGTACAAGTGCGTTTATATAAAAGCCTTTTCTGTTGCTCATCTCAGAAAGGCCTTGAGTTGACTGCAGCCGTGGAAAGATATCTGGAGTTGTTTAAAAAAGTAAAGATTTTAATTGAAAATAACAGATCTCGGGAAGATTACATTTTCTCTGTGATAATGCTGAGTAAATGTTACATAAATCTAGAACATATTGGTTTAGCATGCTCCTAATTTATATTTTACTGCCATCTGAATGTGGTTTTGCTTACTACAAATACTAAGCATTGAAGACCTGATTTTGGTTTTTTGGTTCTTAGCCTCTGGATTTGGTCCTAAGTCGGTGTTCCTCTGTTTCCATGTGCTGAAATGTGTTTTGTATCAGAGTTTTTTAATAGTTGTGAAATCCCCATGGTACATGTGCAGAATTTTTTTCCCCTTTCAGTGGGAATGTTAATACAGTTGACTAACAACTTCTGTTTGAATCTCTTTCCTTGCTTCCAGGGCTCGACATCATGTAGCTTCTCTTCCTTCTTTGATCCTTTCTCATGGGGCAGACCCCACTCGAGGCACTTCTTTCCATGTATTCCCCTCTTTGGGTGAGCCTAGTCCTTTGGTCGGCTTCAGCAACCAAGTTTAGGAAAATGACTGTTTCCAGATATAACTTCATTTGTGATTTGCAAATTCCAATATCCAGCACTACACTCATCCACTAGACCAGCGGTTCTCAACCTGTGGGTCACGACCCCTTTGGCGGTCGAACGACCTTTTCACAGGGGTCGCCTAAGACCATCCTGCATATCAGATATTTACATTAGATTCATAACAGTAGCAACATTACAGTTATGAAGTAGCAACGAAAATAATTTTATGGTTGGGTCACAACATGAGGAACTGTATTTAAAGGGCCAGAAGGTTGAGAACCACTGCACTAGACTGTAAACTGCATGAAGGCCGGGGTTGCGTCTCCTAATTCATTGTCTCTCCATTGCCGAGCACACTGCCTAAACATCTACTCTGTGTATCTAATGCTTTAAATTCGTACATTATTTTCCTGGTCTCCAGGTGTTCTGTCAGATCCACACTAATCCCATCTTCCCAGTATTCTGCACACGCCTCTGGTCAGTGTCTCACATCTACCCCTTTCCCATCTTGTTATCCATTTGGTTAAACTCTCATCACCTTCTACTTGGACTATGCTGCGTCTCCTTTTTCCTCCTTGCTCTGTTCTCCCCGTTACTCCCAGGCTACCGTGATTTTCAAGGATGTAAGTGCAGTGGGATAACCTAAGCGCCCCTCCCCTAAACTGAAATAGAATCTTTGGTGATGGGACCAAGAAATCTGTTTATTAAAAAGCGGCCCAAGTGAGTTAAAGTGCAGTCAGGATTGAGAACCGCTAGTGTATACGAATTTACTAATCTTCCTAAAGTATGACTGATTAGGGGATTCATAAAGCGTCAGTGGTTACTTTTACTCACCTTTCTTGCTTTTAAATTAGATCTAGATTCTCACCTAAAAAAGATCCATTCTATGTCTCTATTCAGACCTTTCCTAACTTATCTCCTAATGCCCCTCTTAGAGTACTTCAGTCCAGAGTTGGAACCTTTGCCCAAGTCTGCTATTGGAGTTTGCCCACACTCTTTTCCCACCTGGAATGGCTTTTCTCCCATCTTTACTTTTAGAATTCCCACTAATCTTTTAAAGACCATTGCTGTGTTTCCAATAAGCTGTTCCTTTTCCTTACTTATTGGCTTTCCCCCCGAGAACCCATAAACCCACATATAGATTTCTCATCCTAAACACCTTTCCTCTCTGAGAATTTATAGTCAATCCTTGACTCTTTCCCAGGTTTCTATGAAGAGAGTTCTGTACCTCCTCACTTCTCCTTCAGCTGCCATCTGACTTTCATCTCTACCCCTCATTGGACTCTCCTTTCCTTTGGTGCTTTCCCGACTGCTCCCTGTGGACTTACTCATTTTCATCCTTGATATAACCTTTTCACGTTTCTCTGTCATGGCTGATCACTTACCGTGTTCTGACAATTTGTTTACAATAATCTTGACAGATTATTTTTTCCTGTAGACATCTCTGTTTCTTCAATGCTAGGCATGTTGTAGGTGCTCAATAAAAATGTTATTGAGTCAATATGTATGCAACAGTCAGTAGAGTTACTGCTCCCATTTTCTTAAATTTTGGCAGACTTAGAAGAATTTTAAAAAATCTATAAAATGAAAAAAGTAGAGAAAGATATGCAACATTTAATGATGATAAATATATGTCTATTTTTTTTATTCAGATAAATGTGAAAAAGAAAATACTGAGAGAGATATAACTCATGCCACCAATAGCTGCTTCACACATGGAGAGATGCAGGACCAGTTCATTTGGGGAAATTGCTCAGAGGATGAACTCATCAGAAGTAAGTACTTTTAGAGCAAATTGCAGTAATTTGGGGATGTGACTGTGATACTATGCTCCGAGTTAATTGTTCCATATTATTTTGTTGAAAATCTATAAATCAGAATTTTCAGAATTTATCTGAAAGTGTTTTCATTAGAATTTTACAATAATAGGGCTATAACTAAGATATAAATAATACTCTCAGTTTCCATCCTTTCTTTAGAAATGAAGAATTTATTGAGCTATAAATTTTGGACTCAGTTCTTAGAGAGATGTAGACAAAACTTAATTCCTCTTTGAGCAGTGACTAAGTGAAAGTCAGACCATTCTAAGTGACTGTGAAACTAAAAAGATAAAGACAGAGCTGAAGGACAATAATGAATACTTTGGTAATGACATTTCAGTCCCTGTTCTTGTAAGTCAAATGATTCCAAACTTTTTTTTTTAATAATTAAAATGTTTATCACTCCTTCTTCTCCTTTTTTCTTTTTTAAAAATTGTTTTCCTCTCCCTAAGATTGCCATGTAAAATGTATACAAAAGCTATGGCATGTTTTCATTTTACTCTGGGAATGTATGGAAATAACAGTATCTTTTGGGTGCTATCCAGAATGCTGATTTCCTGTCAGGTTCTCCTTTGGGGCTTAGGTTCTGGTCACTAAGTTCCCTCAGGTGGGTTCAAGATGAATTGATCATGTAATGAATTGTTCTCTGTAGTAAATGAATAGGTATAAAGATCACTGCTATGCCTCACCTGGAAGAGCATAGGAATATATATATTTTGGAATTCTCCTTCATTGTAACCACATTGCCATGTCTTATTCTAGTCCCAGCACGGACAGAGGAAAATAATTCTTTTCTGGAAATCAAGCATTATTTTTAATTTAATTCTTCAGGTCAGACAACCTCATTACATAGACCCTTTCTTGTGTTACATATTAGATTTACTTTGAATCTTTGAATGTTTCTTTTCCTCTTTAGAATGCCCATTATCTGTCCTTAACTGAAGATAGCAGAAACAGGAAAAAACCAACTTAGTAGAAAACATAAAGTAGTAATAAAAACACTATTGAAGGAAATATAAAGATTTCAAACAAAAACTCTAAAAGTGAATGTGTTTTAATTTAATTTTAAGACATTATCTTTTTTCAAATTTTTGTCTTAGAGAATGGAATAGTAAGGAATTTAGGCTCAGAAATTAGTGAGGAGTGCCCTAGCCAGTTTTGCTCATGGATAGAGTGTTGGTCCACAGATTGAGGCGCATGCAGGAGGTAAACAGTTGATATGTCTCTCTCTCACATTGATGTTTCTCTCTCTCTGTGTCTCTCCCCCTCCTTCCACTCTTTCCAAAAATCAGTGGAAAAAATATCCCCTGGTGAGGATGAAAAACAAAAACAGCAAAAAATTAGTGACCAGCAAAATTTATATAGCTTTTTCCAAAGAATCAAATAAACATTATTTCAACTGAACATTTATTCCCAAAACATTTATATTGATTGTCTTCCATTTAAATGTTGACTCTGCTATTATGAAACATAGTTTTTAAAGATATTGACAAGATCATATTTTATCTATGATTTCCTAACAACCAGAGAGTTAGTGAGGGCTAGAGGAGGTCTCAGAAACAATTTTATCTCCGCCTTGGGGAGCATGATTGTTTTCTCATTTTATTTCATAGTTACAGAATTTTAAGTGTGTGTGTTTCATTTAATTGATTTAATTCCCTACTCTCCCTTCCCAAGACCCACATAAAGAAAACGTGCATAAGAACTCTTAAGACAAAAACCGAAATATGACCACTATTGCATAAGGATTTGGAGAGTCATATTTAATGTGTTAAAATTTTTTGTGCTATTTGATAAAACTTATTATAGTCACAGAAATTCATACCATAAATGGAATGGATTTAAAATGAAGTACTGAGAGAGAGAGAGAGAGAGAGAGAGAGAGAGAAATTGAGATGTATTGCCCCATCTGAGAGTGCTGCTGGGAAAACGGACAGATGAATGGATCTTCAAAAGATAATGGCCAATGACAGTAATGCCGCTCCTTCCTGAAACATAAACTGGCAATAATTTCTAAATGTATTTGTGGGTGACATTGGGTTCTGAATTCTGTCAACAAATTTAAAAAACTACCTTTTTGTTATTTTCCTGGTCACACTTTTCCTGACAAAGGCGATTTTATTGGGTCTGCAGGAAGGATTTGATATCTGGATATCTGGATTTGCCGAAATGGAACATCTATGTCATCTTTAACCCAGACTCAAGTATGAGAGTATTTGAAAGCTTGATATTGTGATAGCTTCTGCTATTCCAACACCTTAATATGAAGTGCGACAAAGCTGCCCGAATGTCCTTCTTTAGCCTTTCCCATAGAGTATTTGGCCATCTCCATGTAATTTAATGTTTGTCGCTCTTCACCCTGCAGTTAGGGAGATGTGTGTTTTCCTCTTGGTTCAACATCTGGCACATTCTGCGGGCCCACTGAATCTTTCGTAATAACAATAGGCCCTGGAAAGAAGGCTCTGGCTCAGAGCTACGTGGGGGAGGAGGGGAACATCTGTGGTGAGTCAGGATCAGACTGGCTCCCGTTCCAGGAGTCCTGTGTGGAGCCTCGAGCACCATGGAAGAGGCAGACAGCTGCTCTCATGGAATTGATTTCAGTGTTCCCACTGCAGTGTGAGGTTCACTGGATGGAGGGATCAGCAGAAAAGTGAGGCCAGCTGGGGTGTGGGAACATTTTCAAATGTACAACCCACTCTTTTTTTCCAAGCTTCCATGGGACAGCTCGGCTGCATAAGTAAGAAGTGAAGGAGAGTGGCTCTGTTTAATATGACTTCTCTTTCTCTACCTATTCTTGAGCGTGGTTAGCGAGGGCTGACAGCTAACATCTCCTTGTCCCGGATGCCTGCTGCCTGCTTTGTTGGACATTTAAGGCATAATTTATAGGGGACTGTTAGCTGTCAGTATGATGAGGCTGTTTTTACTTTTCTGAGAATAACTGAGCTCTGGAAAGTCAAGGGAGTGGCCGCTTTGGAAATTGTATTCTAATTAAAGGGTGTATTCTCAGGCCTCATAAAGGAGATCCAAGCTGAGAATAATTTCCAAATTATTCTGTGAACTTTAACCCTGACCTCACTGGACCACCCACTTGTGGCTCATACTTGGTGCCTGCTCCACTCAGAAGTTCAGGCTTTGTCTGCCTTCCCTGGTCCTGGAGGCCATTGCAGGTGGCAGGCCGGAGGTACTGTGCTCTCAGGGCCTGGAGCCCTAATTGGTTGCCCTTGAGTTGCTAATTTATTAGAATTCTTTCTGGAAGCTATAAATAAAAGAGAGGAAATCCATGTGGAATCAAACATTTCGAATAAATAGGCCACGCATACAATCTGGTCAGGGAATGTGCATTATGATTCTCTTTCTTATGAAATTTAAATTAAAAAGATAATCCTAACCACTCAAGTTTGTTAAAAGAAAGCAAGCACACAAAACACTTAAATCAGATCAGTAAATAAATGAAAACTAAATTGAAGTTTTGTGAGAAGGCTTGATAATTGGAAATTATAATTAGAAAGATTTTTCATTGTGAACTTTTATTCTTTTTACAGTATACAAGGCTTTCATATTCTGAGAAAATATTTTGCTGTATAATTTAACTTCTGGAATGGGGATTACATTTTGGGGTTTATAAGGGCATCTTTCAATGGGAACACTATTAAGACTTTGGCTTTTCTTGTCATATTAGCATATATGACACGGTACATAATTTGGAACTATGCCTTGTTTTAATAATCACTGTGCCTCTGACTTAGTTAAATAAATGTTGCAGAAAAATGGCACCCTCAATTAATATTAATTTTTCTATTTAACCCACAGTGTGGATAAACTGATAACAGGCAATAGGCAACAAGTCATGTTTTAATTAGACTAGAAAAGGAACAAAAGTAGCATTATGATTAAGATTTTAGGGGGGTTTCTAAGGTAGGAAGGAATGTGTGTGTTTGTGTGTGTCTTCCTATGCTTTACTCATAGGCATGTGTAATATTTTCCTTTAATATAGGTCAAATTCTACTTTTCTAATTATTTCCTATATATAGAGAGAGCTTGCATTTTCTTTGTTCCTTTTTCTAAAGTGCCTCAGGTCTCTAGCTCAGATTTTTCTAGGTCTTTTTGAAATTTCTTACTATTTTACTTTATCCTTGGACATTGCTTTCATATAAACGTCTCCTAATTCAAAATGTCATTACTTAACTGCAGAAATTTTCCTCAGCTTCTCTTCTGAAATAAATTCAAATTAAACTATTTTGCTCACCTAATTTTCTCCTTTGTGGTTTTGTAGAATTCCCAAGATCTGAAGCAAAGTTAGAACGTTCTATTTAAATGGTAATCCCCATTCTATTTAACCCATTTATTCATTTTGAAGAGTTTTTAGCTCTCATAATAGTAAGCACTTAATTGGTAGTAGAATGCAAGCCCTCTTTCTCTAATTCACACTCGCCTCCTTCTTATGCATCTTGCTTTTTCACTCCTCCTACTGCTTGAAACCTTTTTCTTGGCATCCTCTCAACACCAACAGACTCCGTTGTTAGAAATACTATTATTTCTCTTCCTATTACTATTATTGCCAACTTGCCACTGAGCACTCCTTAATGAATACTGTTCCATCACTTTGGGGAATACCTCCTCTATGACAAATATTGAAAGAAAGGCAAATCCTCAGGTGTACAATCTACACTGAGTGGCCAGATTATTATGACCGGCCAGATTATTATGACCATCCCATCAGTACTTCATTGACACTTCCAAAAATACTGAATATTGAAAACTTTCTAAGGAAATACTCTCAAGATTTTATTATTATTATTATTATTTGCATAACTAATTCACTTCATTGTACTGATGGGGTGGTCATAATAATCTGGCCACTCAGTGTATATAGTTAGGGCATTTCTTACTTTGAAGGTAAGGAAAGAACACCAAGAGGTTGGGATTAAATTTTTCAGTGGCTCTCCTGATTGAAT